CAAACCGTATTTCCTTATGCATGTTTGCACTTCAGCCTCTCGATGAGACAATATCAACTGGAAAATGAAGTTTAAAAGCTTTTATTGATGTTAGGACACAGGAAAGAAGACAAAAAATATAAACTGATTGAGAAAAGAAAAAAAATGAAGTGCAAATTTTTCACGTTAATGATTTTTGTCGATATTTGATTAGGAAGCTGTTTTGAATTCTAAAACAAGTTCTGTTAACCACTTGGAATCTAGATATTTTCATGTGATGTCATATCTCATCAACCACTCCAGGGCAATTATTGCTTTCACTGTCTTCATTACTGTCATCACATCTGAGAATTGGGGTCGTAATCCATTTTCCCTATCCTTTTCTTTCTCCCCCGATGGTGGTGGTAGAGACAGCTGGGAAATCCCAGCCTACTCCTGAAGAGTCATGAGCAGGAGTCACAAAGGAGTGTGTGTGGTGGATGTGGCCCTTCCTTACAGCACGTTGACAATCCTCTTCATGTCAACAGTTGAACTCGAAAAGTGAACATGGTCACAATATGTTGACTGTGTTTGGAAAATAAAAAAAATTTCCCATAAGTCTAGATACATACCTAAAAAAACGTCCTTGATAATGGTTAAAAGAAGAGCCAAAAGTGCTTAGACATACAAAACATTCAAACAATTTTTACACACTTTATGTCCAGCAAAAACAAAACTTATACAAACACAAGAAAAATGAAATAAAAAGCCTAAGCACAGTACATTGTCAGTCGTCTTTAATGAAACTTGTATAAAAGAGGGACTGCTGCCAAAATACACAATTATGAACTTGAACACCCTTACAAGTATAATTTTTTAAAAATTTTCACAAGGAGAAAAACTGAAAATGTAGAATAACGAGTTTATTACAATATACAACTTAATACAAGATGAAGAAACATTCATTATCCTACCGGAAACATTTTTTCTATCCTTTAGATCTGCAAATCTTTTCATGACACTTTCTATAATGATCTTCTTTACAAGATCATTTTCTATTGACAAAATAGCCAAAGAATTTAAGCTGTCTTGAGTCATGGACGACCAGAAGTATGTTTTTATATGCTTTAGTTTTGGAAGATCCCAAACACATGACATAGTGGCATGTCATGTATATGTGCTAGCACAAAGTCACAAGTCATCGTGACTGAGGTTTGAGCATGCTGGACTTGTTCAGATTTTTTATCACACTAGATAACATGCTCTCTCTCAGAAATTGTAACTAAGGTCTGCTCAGCATAGTTGAAGTATAAACCACAGGTGGGCTCTGTTGGTGTTGAACAAACACAAGTGTACCTGAGCAAGTGTCTGCAATAGGGATTGGCTAGCCGCTCTAGTAGACAGGTATCCTAGAATATAAGTGGCCAGCTATTTTATTATATATATATATATATATATATATATATATATATATATATGTTATGCGTCAACAGCAGGCAGTGTAAGTTTTTAAGACAGCAGGATATTTTTGTCCATAGTGTTTCTGTTATAAACTAACTAGAACTTAGTGTTAGTTCCAGATCAGTATAGACATATACTAACATACAATACAAGCTGTCTTGCAACATTTTTATTATACAGGTTGAGTGTACTTTAGCTGTCCTGGGTAGGGACCCTCCACCCCAGCTACGTAGCCTACATTGGTGCAAGTTTTTTGTGAGTGATTGTCACTGCAACATCTTTGTTAACAGATTACTTGCCAGGTGTTTCATGCTCAGTAAAGATATTATTGAAAATGTCAAAAGTCCTGCATTTATATATTTTTTGTGAGTAGTGATCATGTTTTTTCGGACATGTGCATAAAGTAAAAAACATTATTTCTACGTAAAATCTTAATTTCACCACTTAAAATCCATGTGGGCATTACATGAGTAGTGTCATTATTTGTATGTGTATGTACATATAACTGGTTAAATTTTATGTAAATTTACTTTCAAGGTATATGTTACTTATTTATTATTTATATAAAACTAACTTCAGGTTCACTATTTACATTATTCAGACTATTGTCCTCATCTTTAATGCCATATTTATTACAACGTTTGGCTGTTGTACACTCCGGACTTCAGATGGTTGGAATGTCAAACTGAACCCTTCATTTCACTCTTTGGGTCCTGTCACTGGATCTAACTAATGCCTTTATCCACTGTGCCATGTGTCCTTGAGAGTGTGAGTTCAATACCTGGTTAAGGCAGTGGAGAACTTGGAGAGGGGAATTTACAGGATATAACTGATAACTAACATCCATTAAACATGACATGTGGAACTAGAACAGTCTACCCCTGTGAGTGAAATAAAGGGTTCAGTTCGACATCTTGGCACCTAACTCCCCAGACTGCAACCCCCTTGGTTATTATGTGTGAGGCATAGTTAAGCAAGAGGCAAACAAATGTCCTTGTAATACCAAAGATGAACTGAAGTCAAATATTATGACAGCATTCACCAACTTAAACAAGGAGATCCTCCAGAAGAATTGCAGAAGATTCCAAATTCGGTTGGAGGACATGCTTGAAGCTAGTTGTGATTGTATTGAATAAATTTACTCTTTAGTAAGATATTTTTGTGTAATTTTGGTAAATATATGTTAAAATAAGATGTCATTGTTATTTTCATTTTTCTGTAAATTAGATGACAATTTATCCATCACATCCTGTACTAAGGGGTGTTGAAAAGTTCTCAACCTGATTCTCTTTCCAAAACATGACCAGAATTTATTTTAGAATTCTTTATTGGTCAGACCAAGAACCTTCCAATACTCTCTCATAGTTTGAGGTCAACTTTTCATCATATTGATTCAGCATAACAGGAATGAGTTAATTGTTATTTGACCATGAATTTGGGATAGCTAGCCTAGAGAATCAGCATTACAAACACTGGGCTTTTACTAGGGTTTGAACACTTTGATTTGCTACTGGTGGTAAAAATGTAATTGATAAATCAACATTTGAATCTGATTGTTATGCAGGGAAATACGACATGTGACAAGCATTTTTGCATGATATTGTAGAAGATTATATTATCATGTGTAGGCAAGATTACAAGGAAGGTGAATTGTCATTATCTACACAATAGTTTTCATCTTCTATCAGTATTTTCTACTTATATTCCATAAAAATTTAATAACACTTACAATCACCTGTGCTAGAATGGGTGATATAAACACATGTAATTATTGTTATACTCTGCTTCCAATAAGATCTCTTCCTGATTCACTCTACATCAAAACCTGTCATCTGGATGTAAACACTAAGAAAGCAAAAATAAAAATAATGAAGTCATCATTTTCACATGGATTCCAATCATCTCATCCAGCTCATGAAACAAATTTCTTCAAAAATGAAATATATATAAAATAGAGTTTTGAAAGAAAAGAGTCATGGGGGCACATTGAAGTAATGGATAGGAGCTCGGATTGAGAAATTGGAGAGCCAAATTCAAATTCCAGTCAAATCCATTGCACTCATTTATGTGCTAATATCCTTGGGAAAGGTATGAGTCCTGTTCTTCTCCCCCACCCTCCAGCTATGGGTAAGTAGCAGGACAGACTGGGTTCTCTAGCTATGGATGGCAACTGGTCTACTGCAGAAAAAAATAGTAACCTACTGTAGGAAAAAAATCTGCCTTGTCAGTCATGTATTGAAAGATACATGATCGCCTAAGCATGTATCACAAATGGCACATAACTGACTGACTGAAAGAAAAGATGTCTGACAAATTGGAAAAAAAGTTTTTGTGATGTGTTTTGATCCATTAGAATTTCATTGGACTGGGTTTATTTATATTGTGACTACACATGTGCACAAACGAGACACACTGGAAGATTGAAAATTTAGAGAGAATTTCTCTTTTCCATTATTTACATTATTCAGACTATTTTCCTCATCTTTGTCACCATATTTATCACAATGTTTCGGCCGTTGTACGCTCCAGCCTTCTTCAAGGTAGTTGGAATGTCGAGCTGAACCTTCAAGGACACATGGCACAGTGGATAAAGACATTGGTTAGATCCAGTAACAGGACCCAAAGAGTGTAAGTTCAATACCCAGTTAAGGCAGTGGAGAACTTTCAGAGGGAAATTAACAGGAGATAACTGATAACTGACATTCTTTAAAAAACATGGTTTGTGGAACTAGAACAGTCTACCCCAGTGAGCGAAATAATGGGTTCAGTTCGAAATTCCAACCACCTGAAGAAGGCCGGAGTGTACAACGGCCAAAACTTTGTAAAAAATATGGCGACAAAGATGAGGACAATAGTCCGAATAATGTAAATAATGTACATAATACTTCATCTCAGAAATATAGACAGACTCTTTTTTTCAATTTAGTCAAATTCATTTAGATTCATTTTCTTTTCGTTTCCATCATCTTTATTATTAAATATCCCACATTGTGATAACAAAAAATCTGCCAAGAATGGTGAAACATTATAAGAACTTAGACATAAATACAAACCTAGGTGTAAATCCAGGTTCTTAGAATGGATGAAACACATTACAAAAACTTTTTCAGTTTGTCACACATCTTTTCTTTCAAAAGTGTTCTCTGTATATAAAAATTTATATATCGTTATCTGATAAAATAGAGTATAAAAGGAGCCAATCACAAATGTTGGTACTAAAGCAAAAGGCATGATAGAAAATCCTGAGTCATGATCCTCCCTGTCTGCTTTTAAGAACAATGCTCACAACACTGTTGTCAATCATGGTAAGTGAGCAAGCTGTCACCATTATTACCAGTGGCCTTGGTCGACTGACCAAACACATGCATCAACTTTAAACAAAAATCATTCTGTCTTGATTCTCTATATCAGCAAAACAAATAATTTTATTTTAACAATTCTTGTCTCATTTTCATCTCACTGGCAGTACTTGTTGCTTTGTTTGTTCTCTCATGCTATCATACATGGTTTTATAACATTATGAAGCAAAACATGAATAAAACAAACCAATTAGTAAATATTTTTTTCTCTTCTTTTTACAGTACGGGAGATCATGACCGACAAGAAATGGATACAATTTTGTTGCTTAGTCAAAGGGCTTTCTATGTTGGATGGTGAGTATTACTCTTTCATTAATAACACACACATGTAGGATTATATATATATATATATATATATATATATATATGTGTGTGTGTGTGTAATATTATCTCATCAATAAAGTCTGAAGTTTGAAGAAATCCTTTTAAAAGATAAAATAATAGATATAGTATTTTTACATGATATAAAGTTTATAGATCATATTCTACCCTTCTCTCTCTCTCTCACACATACACTCATGCACACTCACATATATATTTGTTTACCAGTTGCAACCCTGATGATTATCTCAGAAAGCGATGGAAAATATTTGGGAAATAAAAGTGATTTTCACTGTTACAGTGCATTTCTTGCATCATTTGATTGTAGTACACAGAAAAATATCCATGAATATGAATGGATTATGCTAAAAATAAGCAGACATAATGTTTGTAATTTATTTAATCAGACACACACTCACATATATATATACAGTGTAACCCGGATATAAGAGAAATTTTCTCTGGTCCCAAATTAGAGCCTGTATATAAAATAGACCAAACCCGGGTATAAGAGACTTCTTCTCTGGTCCCGACAACTCTCTTATATCCGGGTTACACTGTATATATATATATAATGAGTTGAAATTAATGCATGCAAAATTTCACAGCCTTAGCCTATAAACTTTTCAGCCTATCTTCATATATACAACAGCTTCAAAGTAGACATTACTTTTGTGTCACACACAATACACAATATTATCCATAATATATCTTATTCATAAAAACAATTAGAAGCTTTTCTAATTAGTTTCATTACATTTTTTGTTTTATGAATCAGAGGAGATTTTGGGTGAATGAGTTACTGGTTGAAATGAAAATTGATGATTTACACTCTCCAAGGACTTTTGCTTTTAACTAATATAAATATGAAGCAAGACACAATTTAATTCCTCAAAATTTCATTAAGTAAGCTGGAGGTAACAGGTGTAAAAAAAAAATAATTAAAAACAGAAAACTATTTCAAAACGAATTTCATTCATTTGCGAATATGTATGGGACCTTTTTCATCATGCTATGCTTTTTTTTTTTCAGCAATTGATTGGTGGTAACTAGATTAAAGGTTAAGTTTGTGACAAACAGTAGAAGAACTGAATATAAAGAGAGAAATATTATGAAGATTCTAACAGAGAATTCAGGAATGAGAAAAATTTTCTCTTAGGCTATTTAATTCTTGGAATGGCCATGTGAAAGTTTGCTTACTTAATAACTATTGCATGTTATCACATTGAAAATACTTCACTGGGTTAAGCTTGAGATGATAGTAACCAGGTAAGCAAACTTTATTTTCACAGAGCCATTCCAGGAATTAAATTGCCTCATCTTACATGTAAAAATTCAGATATAAATAAAATATATCTGTAAAAGAGAATATGAATAAACACAAAATAAAACTTTTCTTTACCGAGAGATTTAGTCGTCTGATCTAATATTTTTGTTTTTTAAATACTTTTTGCAAAATGAAACCCTTACATTTGCCTTGATAAAGTTCATCAGAAGAGGAAATGAATTAGCGAAAAAAGTTTTCTTTTTGGTGATATTCACACACACACACAAACGAGTGAACCATTGAAACTCACCAATATTTTATGAGAAACCATATGTAAAATATTAAGCTTAAAAATCATGCCTTGTGAAAAGAAAGAGTAACTTTTGGCTCCTTCATTAAATAATTTTCTTTTATTTTCAACCTTGTTAGTTTTAGGATTTCTGTACTTATGAATTTAAGAAAGGCTTTTCTTTCAGCAAATTTGATATCTTTTCATTAAAGACTTGCCATCCTGGGTATGATGATGAACTACATTCACATCCTGGGTAAGACAATAAACTACACCCAACAGCAAGACCTCTGATCAGGAGGTTTTGAGGAGTGTGGGACCACCTATTAATTGCTGGTGTTCCCAAGTCCACTATGACTAGTGGTAGTACCTATTAGGTTCCCGAGTATGGGCAAATAGTTAACCCCCAAACTGGGGTCAAAACACTATGAAAGTGTAAAAATAGGTTTTAATACCAGCAATAGATTTTTTGAGGAAAAATTATTACCAGCAATACATTTTTGAAGAAAATAAATATTACCAGCAGTACATTTTTAAAGGGAAAAATCTTACCAGCAATAAAAATCTTGTCGTCATTAAATAACCCATTGAAGTTGATATGCTGTAAAACAAACCAAACTATTAAAGACTTGTCCAGAGTACTGATAAGTGTCACATACTTAGGCTAAGCAGAAAGTTCTATAAATCAAGTCAATATGGATTTTCTTGTCTAGCAAGGAAATAATTGGAGAGCAAATAAGGAATTGCCTGTGTTATATGTTTATTGTGAAGATGCTGTAATTAATTGGTCTGAGTAATGGTTTTGACACCATTTATTCTTCCAGATTATCTGAAGAAGTGTCAGTCACAAATCTAACATTAGAATCTGTCCTTTGTACCTTTCCCCATCATTATCATTAGTGTTGGGTATGATGATGTACTAGCAGTAAGGCCTCTGATCAGGAGACTGGAGGTTTTGATGAGTGCAGAGTCACCTCTTAACTGCTATTGTTCCCAGGTACACACTGACTCGGAGTAGTAGCACCTGTTAGGATCCCAGTTATGAGCAACCCCTCCCCCCAAAAAAAGCAACAGTACATTTTTATAATAAAATGAGTAACAATAAATTTTTAGTGCAAAATGAAAATCAATGCAACACTAAAAAAAATATAAAAATACATTTTTATAGTAAAATTACCAACAATAAATTTTATGATCTACAAACTATATGTCTAAAAAAAAAAAAAAAACATAATTTTATACTTTTGGACTAATGCTATGTAGAAAATATCTGTAGTTGAAAGCATAAAATTACATACAAAATATTTAGACCATTTACATTATTTGTACTATTGTCCTCATCTTTGTCACCATATTTATTACATGCTTGTATGCTCCGGTCTTCTTCAGCCAAAACATTGTAATAAATATGGTGACAAAGATGAGGTCAGCAGTCCGAATAATGTAAATAGTCTACATAATACCTCATCTCAGAAATATAGACAGATAATGAAAGGCCGAAACATTGTAATAAATATGATGACAAAGATAAGGACAATAGTCTGAATAAATGTAAATAGTGTACATAACACCTCATCTCAGAAATATAGACAGATAATGAAAGGCCGAAACATTGTAATAAATATGGCAACAAAGATGAGGACAATAGTCCGAATAATGTAAATAGTGTACATAATACCTCATCTCAGAAATATAAACAAAATATTTAGATTTAAGCATTAAATAACCCATAGAAGTGTTGATATGTTGCTGAACAAAATCAACCAACTAAATCATTAGTCCCATAACTGCATGTAGTCATAAGGTTGTTGTGAAGTAAGGTGCATGGTCAACTCTCTTGTTTTCCAATGTCTGTCAGTGATATTATCAGTTCATTTCCCCTGTTTGCCTCTTCTTTCCCCTAATACTGTACTTTAGGAGGATAGTAATGAAAAGATTGTTTTGGCTCTTGTAAGCCTGGTCACTGAAAGCTGCCAATATTAACAAACTGATATCGTTTAAGGCGTGCTACAGGTGCTCATTGTGCCCCAGCTAGATGGAACCTTAAATAAATGAATCAGTCCAGGAGGAGAGGGTAACAGAGTCAATTTATCATGACCATGAGGAAGTGAAAATTGCAATAATTTTGCCCTGACATCAGGACTGAGAAACTCTGCATCCACACTATGGTGGAACATATTGATGTCAAGAGAGGATGACTGGAATGACACTGGACTGTTGATAACAGAGATTTGATGAGATGAATGTTGGCAGTACACATTCATAGCAAGGGAAAGGAGAGAGTGGAGAGCATGGTCCCTGAATTTAAGCAATGAAGATATGAAGAAACAAGTCAACAAGATGCGACCATACCATTTTAATTCTCTTCTTGATAGTAGTTATCGGTTCTTCCAACAGACTTGTTCCTTGTCTTATGGTGTCTCACACTGCTTCATTTTTGATGCAGTCTTTATAGGAGATGCCTGGGAGGGTTCTACAGTATTTCATTTCTAATGTTTGGATTCAACACTGAAGGTCTACTGTTATCATCCAAGACTTGCAGACCTACAGAAAGATCGAAAAGGTCAATGCCTGCAACATTCTGAAATGTGGTTTCAGGCAGTTGTTCTCGTCTTCTTAGATTGTTCTGAGTTTTGTGACAGGTGCCATTTTTTGTAACTTTACTGTTATTAACATCAATTTTTGGGTGATCCATTCCTCAATCCTCATAAGATAGGATATATGAGAAAAAAAAAAGAAATATCTTAGCTCAAGAAAACAACAAGCAATATAGATTAATCATTAATTAGTGTAATTAGAACATATGAGAAAATCATTGGTCCATAACTACCACTCAAGCTGGAGTTACACTCATTGTTAACCTTAAGATAGGTTTTATTAAATGTTTTAAAGATTATCCCTCTGTCTATCTATCTCTCTCTTTCTATATATATATATATATATATATATATATATATTTTTTTTTCTTATTTCTTTAAATATTAGAATTAGTGGATAAACATCTTTCAGTCGACATCTCAGTTTAAATTTATGTCTATCGTCTTGTGCATTCAAGAGTCTGAATAAAGAAAATGCACTTACTGGCAGGGCTCAAATCTGCATTCTCTTTATAGGGGAAACCACTATTAGCCCCAATGTGCTTTTGACAGCTCAGCCATAAATAGTGGGAGGCTTGTATTTCGTTAAGTCGGTCCTAAAAGGGTCTGACGTACAAAACGTTAGGAACTTGAAATAAGAGTTAATGACTTGGATGAAACTTCGTTATAGTTTCAATGTCTTAAAAACAAAACCAGATTAACAATCTGAATATTTTCCTTAACATCAAATAAAGAAGTAAAGCTAATCATGGAGGAAGATTACAGAGAGTTTACCTTCAAGAAGTGAAAGATCATTCAGGGGTTCTACCAAATAGAGACA